GCACAGGGTGTAACAGATAAGTATATGATGTGTGTCACAAGCAATACTGTGTTACAATACAATACAACCAATAAGAACGTACAGTATTCATCCTTCCCCAGCCACCTATACAGATTGCACTGGTGCCTCTGGACACCAAAGCCCAGTTTCAAGAAAACAGAGGCCCATATGTACTACAGCTTACGAATCTATGCTAGCTATTTAGATGATGTAATAAATCCTATATAAATATGCTTTCATGTTCAACACACTATGCATTGTCTTAACATAAAGTAATGTCTTTTAGGCTCATTTGTTATTAAGATGGGCTACTCATAGGGCAAAAGTGTGCAGTATGTCATTTTACAGAATGATGATGAATTACTCGCCACTTGCTACTGTATGCTTCTGCTGAGCTCTTTCATACCCATTAGTATTCATGCTTCCTCTCTGACTATGCAGCAGTCCCATCTAACAGCAGCAGTAGCTCCACTATCAATGCTGCGCTCATTTCGACACTGTCTCCTTGACCACGGAGCGCTGTGAGGACCGCGGCTCCAGATTCCGATGGCAGACCGACGCAACAAGTGTGTAGGACAAACTGGCACAAAGAGCCTGACCATGACCTTAAACTTTTTGTACGTTCTGTCCTAAAACCTAGGTGTACTATGTTGCAAATGCAGACTTTGATTGTCAAGAGTTTGATTGGACTGTCTGTATATATACCAGGGTAATAAATAAATAAATTTACTTGAACAAACAGGCAAAGCATAACCTGTATTAACACGATGAGGCCTTTAAATCTTGAGGGAAAAAAACAGAAATTGTGCAACATATCACTTGTCATGTTCAAAAACAGACAAAATCAGATGACTCTCACATGCTGCCACACGCATGCACTGACACATGCACGTACACACATCACTGCAGCAAGGATGGAGAGCCTCCTCCAGGCATCGGGATGGTGAACTTCAGCCCCGCTATATCTGATATCCCTTCACAATCACTTCTCTTGTTGGAGACTTCTTACCAATGCCTAAGCTCTCCTTGTGCCAACGTCAACAGCCCACAGCTGCCCCTCATACACCTTTATGACCTATTTGTAACAGCGGTATAAGAGTAGAGCCCATTGTTTAAACAAACAAATCTTATGATCAACTTGTGAGCAAACTGCACATCTGTGTCTGTACTTGATCAAAGCCAAACGTTGGACGAGAACATCCACTTAGGCTTAACTTAACAAAGCAAATTTATGTAAAAAGCATCTCGCCACCGTAGAGGTGCCAGCCGGAGCCAGCACATAAGCAGAAAAGAGACAGACAGAAAACACTCACGTTGTTTGTGGACCAAGGAGAATGTGCTACTGAGGTTTCCATTGTTTTAACCTGTTTTCTAGTTATGCTCTATTTTTTCCCACTTTTTGCAAATACCTAATCTCCTCTCTGTAGCTGTTATCTTTCAGTGAGTAATAGTCAGACAGAGACAGACAGGCAGATAGACACAGTCTGTTCCCCGAGCCAGCAAACAGGACACTGGCCTTTTATGGGTGCTCTTCTCACATCCCCTAATGGATTCTCCTATTATAGGATGATAAATGAAAGCTCTGTCAGAACGGTTTTGTCTGTTTTTTTAACACAGTAGCTGGGATGTCAAGTGTGATGGTTGAGAACATACACTGTAATAATCAAAACAGAATTTGTGTACAATGCACGGCACACATGAAAAATCAGCACACTCGCTGAGATGTGTATAATACACACACAAGTATCCACAACATTAAAACAGCATTCAACCTTGTTTCTGAGCCCATAATAACTGTGCATTTATGGACTTTCATTTCATTTGCATTGGCTGTATTACTTGGTGAGAAAATATTAACATCAGAGAACTTTGAAAACAAATCCTGACTACCTGGCACACACTGCAATTTATGTCTCATCTTAGTCAGGTTACAAGTACATTAGAATTAACAGCTATAATCAACAGCTTCAAGATCAACGCACAATATATCAGGCAAAGTTATTTGAACACAAAACGTTGTTATCACCAACCTTCTCCAGCTTTTCAAAATGCTCCCGCAGGAACTTCATAGGACGCTCAGGCTTGGCAATGCAGAGGTTCACAATGCACTCTTTGAGGATCTGCTGGATGTTGTGCTTCTGCACAAAAATTTCACAGCCCTTCAAACTCTCGTCTTCTTCCAGAGTGGAGGAGGAGGTGGCCATCTTATCTTTTATCTCTGTGGCAGTGGGAGAAAACAGGGTGGAGAGGAGGGGAGGGAAAGCAGAATGGGGATGGGGGGGTAGAACAAGGGTTACACATCTATCTACATGTCTCAGGATAGGTTAGAAGATTTTATTCTTGTTGCCCAATCATATTTGGTTGACATATTATTAGTAAAACTGTATTACACGTCTTTGATTGTGGGCATGTGACAGAAGGAGCCCACAAAAGAAGCTTATAGGGTCAATTAACTTAAAATGGCATTAACATTATTTAACACTTAATTTAATAAGGATTCACACCTCAAGCACCGTGTATGCCCTTAGTATGTTTCTTTGTGGATGAAGATGATTGAACATGGCCATTTTGTAAACTGAAGCTTTAATGGTTTTAAGGTAATTTGTGAAAGTAAACACTTCAGTAGGTGGAGGTTAGATAAATTACAAAGCAGTTATGAAAACAGCTATGATTATGTCAGACTACAGTAAATGTCAAATAACAGCAGTATGTCTCATCATGGCAAGCCAGGAAGCTGAGCAGGTGTAGCTAACTAGTAACTACCATGTATCACTTCCTCAAAGGGAAATCACGTCTCCGTCTATGTGAGTGTGTGTGTGTGTTTTTTATACAGCATAATAAATCAAAATGTGTTGACTTGAGGGTATGAAATACACCGAGTGCAGTTTATTCACAGCAATGAAAGCAAGTGCCCACATTTATACATTTTGCCATGCTTGAGCTAGTGATGAACGTCAGCACCTGTTCAGTTGCATTCAATATAGACAGCTAACCCAGCTAGCTTTGCTAACCTTACAATGACAACCAAACCACAACGAAGGGGAATTACTGCGACGTAAACGCTGTCAGTGGCCTGCTCTAAAGCGCTATTTTGTGTTTATAAAAACACGGTCTCGCTGGTGCTCTCGCTGGTGTCCCTACCGTTATTTTTGGAGGATGCTCAATGAGAAAAACACCTCGCTGGTGGTGGGAGATTGGTGAGGTGCCGTTTGTCAGATAGGATGCTGCTGCTCTGCCTCTCCGCTACTTCGGCTCGCTCTGCGTCAGTCCCGATGACGTCAATCTGTCATCTTCTCGACCGCAGCGGCGCTCTCTCGAGGCCAGCAGCAGCGAGCACGCGCCGGTCTGCAGGTAGAAATCTTTAACTAAAGGAAACCTCCACTCTAAAGGGAAGTGGGGTGTATTTCGTTAATTAGTGAACACTTTTTATTTGCACATTTGGGGTTAGACTGAATACATGTTTTTATATCGAGAGAGAAATACTAAAACTGACATGTTTGACGCAGGACCATACGTCAGGAAATACGTCAAAGTCTTACATCCAACACCCCCAACCCACCCTTTCTCCCCTTCTCAAAAGTCTGACTAGACACCATAAGAACAATCCCTAAAATTGCTTAATTGTTTGTATTTTTGCACATTTTATGTTGTTTCTCTAAATTGTATTTCCTAATATGAAAGTCAATGCTGTTAATTCAAAGCTTTCTCTTCTGTACACTTCCAGGAATTAAATTATGGTGGTGAAATAGTAAATCCTTGGTTTATTATTGTATCTGTTGGGTTAAAAGTAGTCAAAATTAAATATATTGAATTTATTCCAAATTTCACTTCCCAATATGATATATATTAAGTATCAATGTTGTTTGTCAAAGCCTTCTCTACACTACCAGGATACACATTTTGGTTGTCAATAGAGAATCCTTAATTTGTTTTTTCGTTATATTTAGGCTACTTGAAATTAGACCTACTTAATTTACTTAAAAGTTGTCAAATTTAGGCTAAATGTATTCAGTGTCAGTCACTAAAACCCAGAAATTCCCAGAAATAAATATTTAGAACAAGACATCAGTCAGTGTTAGCTACATCCCTGACATCAGCAGTGGGATATAAATCACAATTCATCATGGGTGCATTCACTGAGATATTAGTGTTTCTAAATCATATATATGGGCCCTAGTTTCAAATAAAACTGTATTTAACAGTCAAACAACCCAAACCCACAGATTCAGCCACTACATTAATGTTAATTAATAGTTTACCTTTAGCCACAGAGACTAACCCCTACTTGTATCCTGTAACAGCCTACTAACAAGCCCCAGTTTGCCATGTACTTTGACTGAAAATCTCTTTGGGAACATGCATATTTAACCATAATAACAAATGAAATAACAAACTTCTTTAACCTAGAGTTTTATAAAAGTAGATTTTGGCCCCAGTTCTAAAAGGGCCTTACACTGCTGTAAGGTCCTTACTTTCAGCTGCATATATTGCTTTAGTGGTGCACATTACCCAAATTATTTGGGGAAGTATGTATTCAACCAAATTAGGCTATTACAAACAAAGTGACACACTGTAAACCTTTGCTTTGGAGCTCCTAAGGAACACTTTCCCCAGTTGGTAATCTAACCATGTTTAGATTTCACTGAGGATAATAAGACCGCTTTGTGAGAAATCACAACAATCCTGTAACAATGTGTAGGCCTTATGTTGTACTTTACTCAGCAGCAGGTTTGGCTGAATGTTTTAAACTCATTTCTTGACTGTTTTAACCAATTAGATATTTCCTCCTTGAAAGCATCTTTGAGGAGGCTATTTAGAAAAACTAATTTATTATTTATTATTACTACCTTTATACTAATTAGGCAATTTGGTGTTGTATGATTTGATGACATTTTGTGAACACAAATGGTAACACTTGGTTGTGAATGCGAATAAAGTTCGAGATTTTGAATCGGAAGCTACCGTAAAGCAGCCGTTTGTTTGTCGTGCAGCTGCAGGTTGCCATAACGGCACTCAAGATGGCAGCGATGGCGGCTGTAGATGAGCATGCTGCCTCTGAAGTTTTGAGAGGACTCGCCCGACATTTAAACTGCCTAAACGAAGACAACAAGTCGACAAGAATGAAGGCCCTTGAGCTAATCAAAAGGGAGACTGTAGATAAAGGACTTTCCAGCAGCGTCTTACAGGAGGTTTTCTCTGCCCTTCTCAAGCCTCTCCTCAAATGTCTTTCAGACCCGATGGAAAGATGCAGAGAAACCGCGATAACGATGATAACAGAGTTTATTCGTTGTGTCCCCAAACCGGAAGAGTCGCTGCCTTATCTCATGCCCTGTCTGGCTCAGAGGCTCGGGGAGAAAGAGATCCTGGAGCCGGCAGAAGAGCTTCGGCTGTCGGCCGTGGAAATGTTGACTCTCACGCTGGAGGTGTGCGGGAAGCATTTAGCGCCGTATCTGAACGAAATTATCAACATACTGAAGAGAACCATCGTTGACCCCTTTCCAGATGTCAAAAGAGAAAGCTGCAAATGCACTGTAAACTTTGCAAAGTGTCTGCCAGGTTTGTGAGACGGTTTTTTCCCGTTGTTGATAAAGGTCTGTTGCCATGGTTTCGAAGCACGCAAACATGTTTGCGATAGAAACGCTCACTTTCCAGTAATGTTACTGCCCAGCTGCCTGTATAGTTACACTGAGTGGCTAAATTAAATCATTAGGTTGTGTGATTTCAGGGAAACATTGAGCTAATGTTTCTTAAGTAGCAATGTTAGAATTCCAATACCGCCTGTCAGTTCTCTCAGCTAGAGCTGCAATTGTCGATTCATCTGTATTTTGTTCCGTTAATCATTTAGTCCAGAGGTTTCCAGCCTTTGCCAGCAATCAATTTTTGACCTACTGTCATCAGTTGCAAATGTCTTTATGAATTATGACAGTTTAACTATTTTGGGGTTTCCTTGTCTTATCTGAATTATTCTTAGATGCCTGATGAGGTTACATTTCAGATGGATTAAACCACTTGTTTAGAAATTCATTTTCTTTCAATCAACTAATCATTTCCATACTAATGGTGTATCAACCCTTGTGTTTTTTTGCCTGAGATTCTTTGTCGGGAAGTTCCAAAAATGATGGGCCCTGATTGGAAAAAGGCCCAGTCCTCGCTAATTATTCAGTCAATCAGACAGTCGGATGAAGTCACAAACTTGTATCAGTTTGGCTGAATTCCTTGATTTATTCAGTTGTCAGAGGACACACTCTCTTGTCAGTCAAATATAAAGAGTAATCAGTGCAGGACTGTAATTGAGCCCTTGAAACCACAAAAACTAGCCTAAGCAACATCAGAATGCTAATGTAACCAGAATCTATCCAGTCTCGCATCTCAGTATTGATGTTATATCAATGTATCATCCAGCAATGCAGTAACTGAATTGAATGGATTGAAGTGCATTTCCCCTCTTTCTCTTCAGAGCACTTCCACATGCAGGCTGAGAGTCTGGTCCAGCCTCTCATGCAGACGATTTCTCACCAGCACTCCCGGGTACGAGTGTCTGTCATTGAAGCCACCGGGGCTGTCATTCAGCATGGCACCGGGAAAAACGTGGATGACGTGCTCTCTCACCTGGCACAGAGGCTGTTTGATGACTCACCACAGGTTCAGTATAAAACAACTAAGCACTGTTAGAACTCCCACTGTGTGTCATTACATAGGCTATTAATTGTAAAAAAAAAAAAGATTGACCTCACAGTATGGTCAAGTGCAATATCGAAATCACAGGTGCTGCAATTTTTGATAAAGGTAATATGAGTATCAACATACCATTTTATTTATGAAGCACTGTGGTGCTACAGAGATGCCACAGCTTACAGTTCATATTCTCCAGACATAAAGGAACATGCATGTTTAATACAGACCACAGAAAAAATCACCTTATATTTATTTTTTCAGAGACAATGACATTTAAAACTGGCCATTTCCACCGATATCATGACCATCATCATATCGCAATATCTGAATTATATGATTTTATTTTGCATATTGTGTTATCCCTAATTACATGTACTGCTTAATAAATGATTTGCCTTCAGGCTTATCTTCAAAATCAAAGCGCAGTGTCTAGGTCGAGAATTCAATACTTCTTTCGATTCTCAATGCTCTTTTCTCTATCTTGCTCTGTTTTGTTTTAAGGTGAGAAAAGCTGTGACTGCAGTTGTTGGTGATTGGCTACTTCACATGAGAGACAGATACTCTTATTTCCACAAACTCATCCCACTCTTGTTGAGCAGCATCAATGATGAGATCCCAGAAACGAGGTAGATGTGGGCATTGTCCTACTTTACTCTTGGCTTTATAATAATATAGTTTAGCACACCAGTATGTCATATACTAATATGTTACAGATATTTCTCTGAGGGGAGTTTAATGTTAAAAGAAAACATTAACTATAGATCTTTAACATCCCCAGGGTTTAGAAATTAGTGAGGTCCAGATTTTTTGTTTCTTTTAATAGAGCTTCTTTTCCGTAATTCATACTAAAATTACACCTTAAACCAACCAAAGTTATACAATACAGTCACACAAACTAATGATCTATAATGAAATACATCGACCTTCAAAGGGACCAGTTGGCAAAAAATACTTTTGATATTTACTATTTACCCACCAGCTAATTATTTTCTCAGATTTCTCCTACCTCCACCGGTCCTTGTAGCTTTCCAGGTGGTTTGAGTTGTATTAATGTATGAATGTTTTCTTTAACGATTTACTTGATGATTAGAGAGGCTGCTGTCAGTCATTTTAAACGTTCCCATGCACACAGTAATGTCACAGCAAATATAGTGGGAGATTTAAGCAGCAAAACACAAAAAACAGTAGTTTAAAACTTGACAGGTAGGACAGGAAACTCTGCAGAGAAAGCAGAAATCAACTTTTAAATGCTTAGATCCTCTGATGGAGCTCAGGATTTATTAGGAGGACAGCTGCTTTACTCCAGACATTTTCACAGAAGGAATCTGTGTGTGGGACCTTCTAAATGTGTAGAAGAACACAGAACATTAATTAACATTAGATTCTAACCAATCCTGTCGACACGTTGGGAGATTTAAATATGAAGTTATGCTGTTGTGGCTCGTGTGTAAATGCGCACAGCGTCTCTCTCACACTTTGACCCACACGGAAATTCACAAAATGTATTTATCTCCCAAAATTCTGCCCGCAAAAAGCTTTGCTCTCAGTTATTGTGCCCACAATGTTTTCATTTGCTTCATCAAGTCTGGACACTGATGGGGAAATAGTTTTTCAGGTTGAAATAAGGGTTGCAACAATGTAATCAGCTGCGTCCCCATGGTCCTAAAGCATTCATCAAGTTGTTTGTGTTTCAATGGTTTTTATTTGAATGTTTTTATTAATAGGCTATAGCCTAAGTATAATTATATAGGTGACCTCATAGCTGGTTACGGTATTGTGTGACATGCAGTGCATACTATTGACAGTACAGAACAGTGTTGTTGATTGGGAAGACTATCTGTTTCCCCTCCCGTCCTGCAGACTTTTAGCCGCTGATTTATGGAAGCGGGTAGGCGCCCAGTGGGAGAAAGAGAATGAGGACGACATCAAGGACAAGATGGACTTTCTCCTAACCCCACCTCCCTTCTATCCACCAGGAGGTCAGTCAAAGTTGGCATGCTTTATTCTCTTCATTTATTTTCTCTGTTGAATACACTATCATGTGAGTCAGTTGCAAAGAGAAGTCTTATTAATGTGCTGTGTGCTGGCATCAGTGCTATCAAACTCTCTTCTATGTGGGTGGAGATGCAGGGGATCAGACAGATGTGACATAAAATTTTACCTCCTTATCTAAACTCAAGGCTCTAAAAGATGTTTTCTCATTTTATATCGGTCTTGTGCTTCAGTGTCTTAAAAGCGTACTTTGGAAAGCATATGGCCTAGGGAAATCAACCTATGTTGTACAATAGGTTAACAGAGAAATGTGGTGTCTTCCATTTCATTCATTTCATATGGCAAATGTTCCCTCTCATTCACTCATTCACACACCAATTTCAGCAAGTTACCATGTAAGGCACTGGCCTAACCATCATAATATTTACTTATCATTCCACATGCATCCCATTTAATTAGCTAGTATATAAGTATAAACTGTACAAGTTTACAGAGAGGAACTTTTATTGTTTGATTTTATAGAATCCAAAGTGCAACTTTGATGCAGCGTGGCTCTAAAAATTCCCGAACAACACACACTAATCCTACAAAAGTCAAGGCTGTTTCTTGAGGAACATCTACACTGTGACACACACACACACACACACACAAAATACGTGACTGTAGGACAGCTTAGAGAGTACAGGATAGGGTGCTAGCTTTGAGAGATACTATTACTACTGCCACCCAAAGCTCTTATTGGAATCCATTGTTGCTATTTTTTTTTACAAAGCAGCAAGGAAGAAACTGTATGTTGAATTTGGTGATGGAAGGACTTCACTGTCTAGACAGATCTGCGCTTTTCCTGTTGAAATAAACCTGGCAGGAATATCCCTGGGATCCAGCTAACCTTAGGCTATCAGCTCAGACTTCCTTACATCCTGTAAGATTATCTTATTGAAGAAAATTCAGTGTTACAATAGAGCAAAGTTTCCAAGTGCGTTGGCTTCACTGGTTTCTCCCCCAATGCATAATAAAATCAAATGCCATGGTGCCAGTCAAATGCAAATGTATTTTTAATGTGAATGTAATCATTACACCTGCATTAAATATTCTCTCTTTATTACAAGTCCAAGGATAAAACATACATTAGAAATTAAGTCAAGGTCAAGATGTCTTTATTAGTACCCGAGGGTAAAATTTTGTGCAGACAGGAGACTTTCGGCAATCCATACATAAAAACATCAAAACAAACAATAAGAATAGAGCATTATAAAATATCCAAAGCCTAAAACTTCTAAAAGGAACATGGCAGTGTGCCTCTATACCACCACCCCCTAACCCCCACCCTCCTTACCTGCCCGCCCCTCCTGGCTAAAACACATAAGGTGCTATACATAACAAAGAGTGTCATCTACTGCTATTTTTATTCATTAATTCTATGGCAGCGGGAACAAAAGTATTCCTGTATCGTTTGGTTCTACACCTAGTGGCAGCAAACCGACATCCAAAACTCGCCTTATGCTGTAACTGATTGGAATAAAGACCTACAAGGTTGAGCTGAGATTCACCTATGATCTTACTAGCCCACCTAACAATTTGGTTCAAAGAATTTTTGTTCTTCAAAGACAAATTTCCAAACCAAGATACAAGGGAGAACGACAAGACCGATTCAACAAAAGCATGGTAGAAAAGGATCATCATAGATTTATCAATATGAAATCTGGACAACTTTCTGAGGCAAAACAGACGCTGGTGACCCTTTTTACATACAGACTCACAATTTTTTTCGAAAGTCAATTTAGAGTCTATGACAGTCCCAAGATATTTGTAGCTTTCTAGTTGCTTATGACAGCTTAGTTTTCAGGGCCTTTGGGCCAGGAATGAGAACCTGAGCATGGTCACTCTATAGGGCAAGGCTGTGTGTTAGTGTGTGAACAGTTCCTAGGCTTTGCATCCACAAGATCCTCTGTGTCCCATAGCTACACGTGTGGCAATGTGGATGACCTCGGGCTCTGCCCGAGGACAGGAAAGGAAGAGGGTCTCTCTCCCTCTTTGTCTTTCCCTTTCTTGCCATCATAAATCTGCCGGGCCTCCCGGGGTGAAGAGGTCTCTGTCAGACAGTGGGAGACGACCAGAAACGGGCATGTTTTGTCTTGTCCTGCTATGTTTCTCTGATTTATCTCTGTACTCCTTTAGTCCTCTCTTCCTCTCTCATTAGTGTGCCTATGGGAGAAGAAGAATTCAGTGGGGCAGAGAAAGAGAGGTAGACGGGAGGGGGGCAGGTCGGCAGGGATGCTGGATTTGAAATGTAGAGGGCTATTTGAGAATGTGTATCACCTGCTCTGACAAGTCCCTTGTGGGGAAATCTTAATCGGAAAATGTTACAGGTAAAAAATTTTAAAACTGAATCAGTGATATTTATTGTTCTGTAAATGATGTTTGTTAGTGTATTACAATACTGATTATGCATCTTTCTCATAAAAGATGGATAACCAGAAAATGTCATAAAGCCAGAAAAAATGTTGTAGTTTAAGCTTTCACAAACAAGGTGCTAGATGCTTGCTAGCTATATCTGTGTCTGTCTGTGTCATACATTTAATGAAAATAAACAACTTGCTCGTCTCTTGCAGATTGTTCATAGTCATTCTGGAAAGCAAAGTAATTCACTAAGTGAAGGCTGAGAGAAAATGAGTTCTTTAAACATCACAAAGTAATATCAACAGTAAAAGAGTGTGCAAAGGCAAACGCTCTTCATTTTCTCCTACAGTGGAGCGTCCGGGGCTGGGCTGCAGGGAGCTTGTGGTGAGAAACCTGGGTAGACTGGTGCCTGCCATTACCCACGACGTGACCGACTGGCTGGTGCCCACAAGGGTCAGGACCTCTCAGCTGCTCTCTGTGCTGCTGCTCCACGCTGAGGACCACGGCACCCAGCATCTGCAGCCTCTCCTGACCACCCTCTACCGGGCCTGCACCGATTCAGAGAGGGAAGTGGTCAGCAATGTGAGTCCCAGTGAGAGCTAGTCATCAGATGAGCGTGATGTTACAAAACATACTGTATTTCCTCTTTTTTTTGGATCAGATGTGGAATTGAATTGTTTTTTGATATTGAAGTTATTACCAGATGGAATACTTTCAGGACACATCTGTTGAGCTTTCAGTCAGTATTTTTAGCGACTGTACTCAATGTAGACTGAGCTGGACAAGGCTCAAGGACTTGGGATGCACCTGTAGGATTTTGTAGATCTTTGATGTGTGGCAGATTAAAAAAGGACTTCCTGTTCTCGTCCTCCTTTACACTCCCTCGTGCCTCTGTGTCTCTCTCCATTCTCTTCCTCTCACATCTAGTGCCTGGAAGCTGCTAAACTGTTGGGGACCTTTGTCCCTCCTGTTGTCTTCCTCAAGCTGCTGCTGGATCATGTGAAGACCCCCTCCTCTACCTCTCACCCCTGGGCCCCGCTCATGGTGCTGGCGGCGGTGCTGGGAGGCTGCTCCAAACCCCTCCTCAAACCACATCTTGAACAGATCGCCAACACACTGGCCCAGCCCGACGTCTGCCAGGAATATCAACAGGTCAGCAGAGAGGGGCTTGGGTTTGGTTGTGGTTGACCTGTTTTTAACTTACTAACCTGAGGATTGTTGATCTTTGCCAGTAATCCCGTCTACCCCATTAAGACAAGGTACAACCACAGCCTTTTACTATTGTTAACTGAGTAGCTACAGTGGAGTTAGCAACACTTCTGAAGTTTACTGTGTAAGGGGTAAAGAGTTGCTGTTTAAAATATTAAAAGTTAGACTTGTTTTTATGATAGGTTTGCCAGGTTTTCTCTGCCCTCATATGTTGCCATGTCTTGATTTTCCCCCCCTGATCTGTGTGCACCAGCTGTTTTTCTTTTCCAGTCTTGTTAGGTGATCTTGGCAGTGTCACAGAAGGTCATTTTCTACTCTCCCAGTGTACCTCAACGCTCTTATTTTTGGCAGTGACAGTGCAGCAGGCATGCTGTATATTTCTTGACTAATTTGTCCCTTTATGGAAATAGTTTTCGTGATAAGATGCCACATCTCTTTAAAAGGGCTCTAGTTGAAGAGTCCTCAAGAGGTTTCAATAGCACTACTGTACACTGTGAGTTCAGTGGGTTCACTGTTGAGTAATTCTCTAACATGCTGACCCTGCTGAAGTGACAGCCCGGCCACATGGTGTTTTTCAAATCTAACATTTCAAGTCTATGATCAAAACGAATCAGCTCACACGCAACTGTGAAATGTACTCCCACAAAGTATCACAATTTTTTTTTTTTTTACATAGCAGAAATGATTTTTAAAAATGTGCCTTTTGAGTTTCTCTGCAAATAACACTCTGCCAGTGGAAAAATCCAATTGAGTCCGGAGCAGACTCTTCCCCGCTTTCTTTCCTCTTGTACCAAATATGTTTCCCTTTCAGAATCAAAATAACAGTTCAGTTGTCTGGCAGAGAGCTATTTTCTGATCCTGCCGCACTACTGACTCACCTATACCCATGATCCTACCCCACCCCATCCCAGAGAGGCCTGCAAAAATTTCCTCTCTGCGATAATAATAACAAAAATACACTAATTCCACATGACCTCTTCCTGACAGCTCTGACCTCTCTGAGCAGACAAGGCAGTACATAGTCTTTGTATTTATTTTTTTTTATAGCCATGTGTAAGGTCTCGGCACCGGACTGTGGTTCAACCACACCATTAAAAGAATCCCTGAAATTTCAAAGCCTGCCTGGTCAAGGCCGGTGATAAATGGAGAGGGTTGTTGACCCCCCCCTGTCCTCCTTCGCCGCTCTCCGGCGGGGTCACACAGAGAGAGAACTAACAGGACGGGACGGTCACACATTGTCGCACAGATGGAGGCAGACCTCTGTTTCCTCTTTGCCTGTTTCTCCATCTATCTCCCGCTGTCATTCTCCCTCTCTGTTTCTGAGGGCAAAGCACAGACTGTTGTGATTGAAGAGCTCACCCAGACAAAGCACCTGCAACATTCTTCGACAACAGGCAGGGTTCATGGCAGGAAGTAGGGCAAGATCACTGCATAGCTGTTAATAACACCACTGGAGATTGGAGCACCTGCATCCCTCTTTCCCTCTGCGCTGAAATGCTGAAACAGAATATTGTGCACTCACTTTCCACACAGTTGCTCCATCCAAAGTGTTGGTTAGCCCTCAGATCCTTCACTGGGGCTGATTTACTTGTATTTGATAATGGTTTAATTACCTGCAGATGCACAAACATCTAAGACATGGAAGACTCACTGCCCTTGTTGTACTTTATTTGACTAATATACGGCATCTTAAGAACTTTAAAGATATGTGGGTTTGGGTCCAACTTGAGAGAGTTATGTGCCACTTGAATTAAAGGCAGAGAGACAGAAAAAAAATGAAGTTTGACTTGGACAAAATGAAGCCTGTTAAGAAATGAAATATAAATAATCTTCAAAGTGAACAGAGGCAGGGGCAACTGCAGGGCTCCATGGGGAGTTCAGGGAACATGCTGAAGATTTGGAAGATTTGGAAACTGATATACGATATTTCTGCGCAACTTAACCTCACCGACTCTTTCAAGTCCGTTTTCTTTTCTTTATTTCAGTAGGGGGGAAAAGGACAGCTTACAAAAATAAATGACAGATGCTCAACGAAAAAAATAAAAATATTGGTTATAAAATGATGATGTCATGGCTTTGAGGGAAAATAAAAGGCGAGCCAGTGGCTAGGGAAGCCACTGTGTTCTGAAGTACCTTGTGTAGTTTACTTTATATGGGGTGTTTGCTTATGAATCATATGGATTTATTTTCAAAGAGGTATTCCACAGAGGATTAACAAATCCCCGCCATCTCACACAGGCGCGCGCCTTACACAGCCAAGTGTCGCTGTGTTGTGGTTTGCCATGGTGACGGGGGCATCACAATATCTGCCGGGCTAGAGTAAATTGGTAAAGATGGCACCAACAGAGAGGAAGAAAAACATAAAGACGGGGCCTGACAGTGAATTAGCTGGAGTATTTACAACCAGTGTCTTTAAAAGTGAATACGCTGTGTGGTTTGCATTTATTCATTTAGCTGACGCTTTTATCCAAAGTGACTTATAATTTCTATGTAAGTCAGAGGTCGCACGCCTCTGCAGCAACTAGAGGTTAAGTGTCTTGCTCAGGGACACATTGGTGGATGTGTTACAGTGGGGAATTGAACCCAGATCTCTCACACCAAAGGCTTGTGTCTTATCCGCTGCGTCACCACCACTCCCTTGGTAAAACTAAAGCCTCTGTGTCTTTTTATCTTGTCTGTGCATGGAGAAACTTCTGCACGTGTCCCAACGACCAGTATTCTGCAGGGATACACAAACATACTTCCATACATCAGCGGGTCTCGTGCACGTCTGCCCTTTTGTCATGATTGACAGCTGCACACTGCTCCACCGCTCCACTGAACGACAGATGAAGAGAGAAGAAAGGCAGGATAGCAAACTTTGCCTGACTGCAACGGGTCGGCATCCCGTGCACCGCCGGTGTTTGTTTTCCTGTTGTCATAGCAATATCAGTAGCTTTGGGGGGTGGGCTCCCCAATGGATAGGAATCCCATTGCCGTGTGTGTGTGTGTGTGTGTGTGTAATTGATGTATTCAGTGGGGGCGAGATGCACACACGCTGTGTAACGAGGCCCTGTGAGCGTGCCCAGGCCAATGAAACCAGGTGTATCTCGCCTGGATCCAGGTGTCCACCTAGTCATTACACCGCACCACTTTTTCCGCTCTCTCTCGGCCAGCCCTAATGGCTGTTTTCTGTGCATGTATAATATGCGTGTGTGTGTGTGTGTGTGTGTGTGTGTGTGTGTGTCTGCCACTGTTTGTCACGTTATTTCCACTACTGCCTCATTGGAGCTCCCGCTGTGTTTCCCTGCCAGTGGCTTGGCCATAGGCAGGGATTTCCCCAATCAATGACTGTGTGAACACATTAAAACAAGAGCGCACAGTGCAGTGGATAAGCTGCTTTGAGTGTAGTCAGCCGAAGAAATTGAGGGAAAGTGGTGGTTGTTCAGGGCTGAGTGGAAGTTTAGTTTCGCCTCCGACTGCCTACTGTTAACACACTTAACTAACTCTCTGGACTCAAGATGCATATAACAAACTTTTTGTGTGCTGAATACTTTTGCAAAATAAAAATATTTGCCCACGTGTCTCGCAGAAGTCCCGTAGCTCTCCTCCCTCCTCCCAAGCCCTGGCTTTTTTTTTTTTAACGCTCTGAGCATCTTTTCTTGGCTTACACTTGTTTACTTTCCAGATTAAAGCCAAGCTGTGTTGTACAATAGCTACTCAAGTTTGTGAAAATAGAGTGCGCCCCCTAGTGACACAGCTCAGATTAGTCAAGCTCAGTTAGTGGGTGTTGGTTTTGGTTTTGGGGCGAGGGAGCATATGGGGAGGACGCATGGAGTGTTTTCCTGCTTCTCACACACACTTAAGTGCCCCTCGCCACCCAACTCCTCATCATCAGACCAAAGCAAACACCTGGAGGGTGCAGGGTGTTTCACCGGCTCTCAACCCTCCACATGGAAAATCTCTCTCTCTCTCTCTCGTGTGCACACTTGCACCTTCCATCTCCCCCTCAATCTCCTCTCCCCTCCCCATCCAGCCCTAATGACAGGCCGCAAGAAAACAGGAAAAAGAGGCCATGATCCCAGTGATGGCATAGAAATTAGCCTGAGCCACAGGTCTTCGTCTAAACATGAGCTCACCACAACACTGGCTGACAAGTGACAGCAATCGCACACACGCTCATGTCTGGAGATGGAAAGTTCTCACTCTCAGTTATTGTATCTTGTCGATCACTTAGTTATATTTTGTGTAAAGTATTTCATTAAAAAGTATTTAACACTGGAGTTACTTAATAGTAGATTAAGAAGATGGTGTGTTGTGGAGAAGGACTGACAGCAGGGAAAAAAGAGAGATTGTGAGGTCTGAAGTGTAATGCGGTTCACAGGTAGACAGGGCGAACATTCAAGGCGATTCCTTCTCACAGGACTCATATCTGCTATAAACCAGACAAGATGATCTTATAATACTTCTCCCTCTTCCCAGGTTATGTACTTGGAGCAGTTGCTGGCCTGCGTGGATGTACTGCTGCGTCAGTGCGAGTCAGACTCTGGCTCCGTCAGCCTGCAGCTGCTGCAGGTGCTGGTCAGTGTCCAGAGCCTCTCCACCGAGCCACATCTCAGCGAAAAGGTGAGAAAACAGTATGAAGGTGCAAGTCCAGATACATCCTCTCTGCAGCTCTGCCATCGCTTTGTTCCACACGGTCAAACCAGCATTTCACCTCACCTGTGTAGTTCTTCAGTTGTACTTTGACATGGCATTTTTTTTACCCCTTCAATTTCACTATTTCCTGCCTTTTTTATTAGAAAGGTGAGCAGGTTTTATGAAGCAAGAGAGCTATGTGAGGAATGTGAGCATTTGTACTAGTTCAAAGTGGGCATGGCCAACAGTATAATTACCCACTTAGCCAGAGGAGCTGAAATTGCACCTTTGGAGTGGAACTTTTAAATCCAGTCCTGGGTGAAAGGAGGAGGGTGAAAGGTGGTGGTGGGGGGGCGGGGGGGGGGGGGGTTGTGGCTCCATGATACCTCCCCAGGTCACAACAGCCAAAGGAAATGGAAGTAACAACCTTCCATGTTGTGGTCACCCTCCAAATGCAAAGGGGCAAAACAGGAACAGTGACAAGTAAAGTCAACACCATCTGAGGCCAGCGTGTCGCCTAACTGCTCGTCGCCGTAGGAGGCTAATGACAGAGAGAGGAGCGGGAAGGGATTGGCACCGATGCTTACCAGACACCACATGCGCCAACAGTGTGTATGTGTGCGTGTGTTTACGTCTGTCTACATCGGTGAAAATGTCCAGACAGGGAGCAGTGTTAGAGATGAGATGAGAAGGAATGGATTAAGAAAAAGAGAGGGAGGGTGAGAATGGCCTTGGGCATTCCCGGACCCAAAGGAAAAGCTTGTTTTCCCAGAAAAGGGGCACGTCTTTCCCATCAGTGGACAGCTCAGGGTTGTCTAGCTCTCTTCTGAAGGGGCCAATCTGTGACTCAAACATTGTCTCTGTCCCTGTCCATCCCTGAGGGACTATGAAGGGAATTATGAAGTGCCCTTAAGGTCAGTTCCCCTGCCCTACAGAGTCAGCAAATTATTTACTCTCCTATCTCTCGCTCTGGCCCTTTCCTCCCAGCTCAGCTTTGTGTGTGTGTGTGTGTTTCTATCGGTTCCTGTGCCTTTGTGACATCCTGTGTATCTGTTGGGGTTTTTGTTTCTAAGTAGTTTTATGTGTAAGACCTTGTCATGTCTGCAGTGTTGTTCTTCCCATGGTTTCACATGATGGTTTTGGGCCTCCCATGTGAGCATGACCTGAAGAATTCCTGAAATGACATGAAAACAACAATACTCTCTGCTCTTAATTTAGCCTTTCTCCCACCCAAACATCTTTGTCACTTTGAGGGATTTTTTCTACTAAATTCTTTATGATTTTATGTAGAAATTCAAATAATTTTGTTCTGTCTATCCCTCTCTCCCACAGGCCTTGCAGAGTGTTCAGTTCTTGTGTAAGGTGCAGGGCCTGGACTCAGTGACGGAGCTCTATAGACAACATATGGGCCAGCTGCTTGACTGGCTGTCTGCCTCTGTCAACACCTGGTGCAGTTACTCCCCACAGAGACTCCAGCTGCATATCATAGTCATACAAGCAGGTGAGAAGTGAAGCCTGAATGTACACAAGACATTGCCAAATTATACAGCAGGTGTTGAAGTTTGCACATATAGAGACACAATAATGGTCAAATGAACACAGTAAGGTTTTGAGAAAAATGGCCTGTCAGATGAACTGTGAACAATGAGAAGATCACTACATCAGTCATCATTCTGCACATGCTCTTTGGGTCCATTTCTTCCCAGCAGGTTGGTGAGGCTGTATAATCTATATCATGTTTTATTAAACATTACTTCATGGGGATGGTCTGTGAAGCCATTCTTTCCGCAACTTGTTCAGACACATGTTACCTCACATTATAAGCGTTAAGCTTGCCCTGTTCACACATGATCCATCATCGAGGCAGCATATCAAAACCTACAGCTGTCAAAGCAGCAGCATTCCCTCTCGTACAAATGATACATCATTGAAATAGTTTGTAATCGGGCCATTTTTTAGTACCTGCACTTGTAAAAGCGGCAAAAACCATCCTGCTCATCAATGTTTTCATATAGTGGCACACTGCGCCTGAGAACTAGGTAGGCATCGAAAGTTGGAGATGTAGGTGTCAGTGGTGGTCAGTTGTCAGCACCTCTTAATAGATATGAGGGCTGTCAAATGACTCAATGTTTAAAGCATAATTCGATATGATTTATTGCTAGTCGCCTCAATAGATGCATAGTGTTCCATTGTTATTGTCCAAAATGGATGCCCACCAACGACCTTCACTACAGAAACACAGTGGAATTTTTTTATTTATTATTTTCTGTTACCCAAGCAGAGAGACTCATGGTCAAACACACCCACACAGAAAAAGACAGGGCTGTCATTAGCACAAGTTGGCTTCCTGGCTTTTGTAAATCCCTGCCTCTCCCTCTGTTTGTCAGCCAGTGTGTCACAGACTACTTGTTTAGAGGTTAAAAAGCTTTGACCCTGCCTTTGGTGTCGAGACTTCACCAATACCAAATAATCCACCATCATCAGCACCTCCATGCGCCAAACTTTCATCTCCATCTCTTCCACCCTCCCTCCCCTCTCTTTCTAATTGACTGGGCAGCTGGGTACCCCTCTAATCCCCCCTCTCCCCCATCCCCACTCACACATACACACACTCCCACAGCTAACTGACCAGTCCACTCAATGATCCCCATGCAGGTCACTACATCAAACAGCAACACAGTCGCCTGCTCTTGACCTTCCCCTGGATCAAGGCTACTTTGAAGCTCTGTGTGTGAATGCCGCTTTAAGCTTCCATAGATTTCCCTCCACTGAACAATTGACGGCAGTTAATTTGACAACTGAGAATTGGTCATTTTCCTTGCTCATCAGCTCTTCTCACAATCCATCTGCAGTTTTTGGAGAGAGGAATCATTATTGCCCTCTCATATCCTCCTCAGCCTTTTTTTCTTCAGCTGGTGTGAGAATGTCTGATGCATTGTGTGTAAACTGGAGCAGTCTCCGTCTCTCTCCTTCTCTATGCTCAAGGACAGGATGCTTGTTGACAGTCTGTCTAAGCAGTAATGTGGTGCGGTTTGTCTGCATGTGTCTTTATTTGTGAAATCGCTGCCTTGTCATATCTGTAGTCGGTGTGCGACGACCTGCAGACTTCTCCTGAAATACTTCAGATTAAATGACGCACCGTTGATTCACACATTCCTATTGGATGAAATGGTTCTGACTTCTCTGTGTTTTCCCATATACCTTAATGATGCTGGCTGCCACCCTCAGGCAGCCTCAGGATTTCCTCTGTCTCCTCTCCTGTCTGTAGAAGTCCAAACACGGCATGGACACTTATCGCTCATTACACACACACACTCAGATTACTATATATAGCTCTGTAAACATTCAGACAGACTGGTGTGTGTGTGGAATACTTGTACTATAAGTTTTTTTTCCTGTAATAGATACTTATAAAGAGAGGCTCTGTCACACGAAGACCAATGTTATGTCTCATTTCCTCTGGGCTTTGTGTCACTGTCTCACCAGTCCATTGAGGTCTCAATAATCTCAATAACATGCCCTCTGGTCAGTGCTAAACATAAAGAAGTCTTAACTTAAGTCTGTATGGATCTTTTCTTCTTTACCATTTCACAGTTGGTACTGACAAAGACGAATTATAAAAATGCATAAATGTGAAAAGTGTCTTCATTCTGAAAGGGAAACACTAGAGTTTTTAAGGATAGGTTTAGTATTTTTTTGCGGTTAGACTGAAAATGACTGGTTACAGAATTCATTTAAGTCGTTTTTACTGTTGACCCAGCAACGTGGCATAGTTAGGAAGACTTCAAACAAAGGATCCAGGTTCAAGCACTACTCAGGTGGCACTGAAGACTTTTATTGTGTAGCTTTGAACACATTAGGTTCAATCACAGCATTATCATATTGCAATAGTCGCTGCATTAGGTGGCACAAAATGCCCCCAAATATATATATATATATATATATATATATATATATATATATATATATATAT